TAAGGAATTCTCCAGGTAAGAAAAAAATCCCCCTAATATATGTATCATGTGAAGCCTGAGAAATTGACTGAAATTTCAAACTATATAAAGAAATATGGTCATCTGGAAAATGTTCAGGAGTGTAGAACTGGTATGCAGACATCTGTGTGCTTTTATTTTAGGATATCCCTGTGGTGTATAAGCTACACAGCAGCGCTGCAATCCTGGGAGGAGCTCAATAAAAAGACACTAAATCTCATAGTACTCCTGAGGAACCTTCAGTGTTACAGGACAGCCCTGTAATTAAAACGACAAGTAATGACCTTAAATCAAGAAGCAATAAGTAAATCACACTCATCGGGCTATCTTTTTTAATGGAGAGAAAATGTGTAATATTTTCCAGAAGATTTTCTTAAATCACTTACAATAAAAAGTTTCCTTGGTTAAGTTATTGAAACAAAAGGTCATTCTGCAATGAACCTATATAAGAGGGAGGTTCGTGTGATAGACAACCAGTAATAAACTTTCAGAGAATAGACAGAGACCCTGGGTCCCAGAGTAACCGAACCCTCATTTAATCTGGATAACTAACAACTGTTATAGTTCACCATTGAAGTCATCAAGAGAAATTTTAAAGTAATAGCAGTTGAGAAAGCAATTAATCATACCAGGTAGAACTTCACCCCTGCTCCAGGCAATCCCGAATAAACACTGGTCTCTGTACAATTGTCTATTCTGGATACTTCACTGAAGTAGTATCATGTGTCTGTAAGCAGTTTTAAAATAAAATCTCACTCGAGTATGAGAACAATTTGTTTTCAGCTTAAGAAACACACATGAATTACTCGTTTTAAGTGTTCAGATTGTGAGACCTCACCACAACCAACAACAGCCTCACGCCTCGTACAATGCCTTGTCTCCCGCATAAGTGGGCTCTTGCCGCAGACTTTGGGCTGTCTAACACTGATCTGCTTTACATCTGTATAAGCGTGTCTTTTGAAAATTTCATTTGAATAGAATGCACTATGCATTTTTTTATTGGTTTCACTCAGGTTAAGTCTTTTGGGATTCACCTATGTGCTTATGTGTGTTCATATGTCTGTCCCTTTTTTGCTTTTTGTTTTGTATTCTTATTTTATGACTTTGCATGACCAACTAGGGTTCCACTGGGTGGAAGTACCACTTTCATTAACCACTGATTTGGGTTGTGTCCAGTGCATAGTTACTAAGAACAATCCTCCTATGAATATTGGAAGAGCTATTTTTAAAATTGGCAGTGAATAATCTACATGTAATAAGTGATCAAAAATTTAATATTAGAAGGGTCTGGACAAATGCTAAAAAAAGTTCAAGAATAGATAATTTTTCAGTCTCATACTTCTGAACAATGATATACCTTCAAAACGTAGATCCAGAAGGCAATAGCAATAGTTTTTTTTTAATTGGGAGGTATATAGGAATATATATGTGAGAAGTGGCTTTGTTAAATTCTTTTAAGGAAAAATGATATATTAGTGAGAGAAATGTTAGCAAGTTACTCCTGGTAATAAAATAAGCATAAAATTGGAAATTTAGCAATGTAGAAAAAAAACATTACTGCTTAAAGAACCACAATGATTTCTTTTTAAAAGAGAAAACCAATTAGTTTACAAAGTCATTGGTATTGGTACATTAAAATTGATTAATTGAAATTTCATTAATTTTAAAGCCAATTTTCACAATTTTATTAAGATCCTTAGTACTAGCTTTTTAAGCAATCGATAATTATGTAAACATCTTAGGGCTATGGCTAAAATGCATCACTGTGAAATTATAATTTTACAACTCAAGTATGTTTACCTTCGCTACAGGACTTTTGATATGATTGGAGAATATTATGGTCTGATGGATCTGTTCAGGACCATAAAGCTACAAGTGCTTAAAAATATATTTAAAATTAATCAAAAGAAAATCTGACCAGAAAACTGAAAATGGGACATCTTAGAACACCTAAATCTTTAAGGAGCTTTAATACTTACTGCAGAGACGTGTGCCATTTCAAGGTCTTTATAAAGAGCTAGAGATTCATAATTTCAAGCACATATCTGTTATTTATTATCTACATTCTTTTTGAAACTCTATTTTGGCAAACACATATACTTGGACCACTGAATTCATGTGGATCACAAACAAAGTAGATTTTGTATTGTGTCACTTGGCAACTTTCTTCTAGTAGGAAACCCTGGCATTAAAGATCCCAAATTTAAACAAATGTGTCAAACAAATTTCTTTTGGACCTCAACACTACTGCTATAAAAGAAAATGGGAATAGCCATTTCTGAACAACCAAACAGACAAAACACCTGCAAGTACATTTTCGTTAAAAATATCTTTTTGTTTTGTCCCTTTCTCTGATTCAAGTAAAATGTACTTACCATATATACTCGAGTATAAGCCGACCCAACCATCAGCCAAGGCACTCATTACCACAAAAACTGCATAAAAAATATGCTGAAAAACTCAGCTTATACATGAGTATATACAGTAGTTTAAAATTACAATTATAGTAGTTCTCTCCTTCAAATGGTCAGGATCAATACAGATGTCTAAAGAAGCAAAGAAAGAATTTAATATTCAAGTTGTTTTTTCCTCTACATATTTTAGGACTACTTGACTCAGCAAACACCCAGGGTACATCTTGGCCCTAACCCTGACTTACTCATTCAAAATCTCAGGTTTTCTCCGACAGGAAACTCAAACCTTTCCTTGCTATTTAATTTCCTAGTATATCTGAAATACATCTCTTTAGGACTGGTACTGATATATTTAAATATTCAAAATCAGCTTTGGAATTAAACATATAATCTCGTACTGGACACAGTCTTCAGCGCTTCTAAAATCTAAATCCCTATATGGTCAAAGGACTACAGGATGGAGTCATTAATCCAAACCAGGTGTCCTCAAACTACAGCCCGCGGGCCACATGCGGCCCACCAAGGACATTTATCTGGCCCGCCGGTGTTTTCGTCCCATTTTGTTTACTTCAAAATAAGATGTGTAGTGTGCATAGGAATTTGGTCATTTTTTAAAAAAACTATAGTCTGGCCCTCCAATGGGTCTGAGGGACAGTGAACTGTCCCCCTGTTTTAAAAGTTTGAGACCCCTAATCCAAACTTTTCAACAGGGGTCAGATCCCCGTGTACCCCTCTACCCACACGCCTACATGCGCTTGCCACTTCGCCCACTTATAAGGGTTTCTTCTGGGTAGTCTTCCCTGACCTTTAGGCATTAAGAACAATATATTTTATCTCTGCATATGTCACGTTCTTCTGCTTCCCAAAGGCCACAGCCTTGAAAGGCCTATGTAGACGTGGGACTCTGTGTTCATGGAGCCGCTACGAGCTGGAATCAACTTGACTGCAACCACCAACAGCCGTGTATAGCACAGAACCACAAGTGTTTCATGAAGCAAAGAAACAATAAGTAGGTATTTGATTTTTAAAAAAAACCAAAATTGAATTCCTGCAGTATGTGTATGTGTCAAAATAAAGGCTGGTGCTTGCAATCTGAGGGTGTAGGTTAAGAAGTAACCAAAATATACTGACCTGTTTGAGCCAGTAGGTTTTCAATGGTGATTTCAGTATGCATTCAATTAATATGAACCTGCTTTTAATCGAGGCAAAGATGCTGGCCATGGGAAGCCTGGACTAGACAGATGTTGGTGAATGACAATGAAAACACTGAGATTGTTAATTTTGCTTTAGAGCTTCATTCGGGGTTACAAGTAAATATTAATGAGGAGGTAAATCCAAAAATAAGTCCATAATTTTTGCGATGATCAACTATAATTCTTTAAGAGGCGATACTGGGAGGGTAGTGGGAGAGTGGGTTGGAAAGAGGGAACCGATTACAAGGAACTATATGTGACCTTCTCCCTGGGGGACAGACAACATGAAAGTGGGTGAAGGGAGACATTGGATAGGGCAAGATATGACTGAGATAGTTTATTATGCCAGCCTGGCCGATAAACACAAGTAGGATTAACTGAAAGGTGGAGAGATAATGGCTCGGTGAGCCTCGCCTTTCTTGTCTCTTGCTCTTTGATCATCAGACCAGTGTGCGGCTGCCTTGCTTGTTCTGTGCCTCAATTTATAGGCTACACTACCTGTGGGATGCCTAGCCTGTGGACTGTGTCGCTGTAAGTTGAGGTCCCTTTAAGACATCTCTGGAGCTGGGGACTGGCAGTTGGGACTGGTGGTTAGTTGACAGTTGGTGATCTGCCTTGTGATTGGCTGCTGTGCTGAGATAGCCTCGCTCTCTCTATAAATAGAGGGAGAACTGGCAGCAGATGGGACTTGAAGGACTGCTAGTTTCACACAACTCTCTCACGGGAGTGAATTGTACTGAGCCATTTGTAGTGCTTTATAATTTAACTGTTCATTTCTTATATTATATATTTATCTGTATATGACTTAACAGTTCATTTCTTGTTATATATCTAATTATCTTTATAAATAAATATATTTAATTATCAGCAATTTGGTTTTATCTCTCTAGAGAACCCTGTCTAACACATATGACAAAATAATAATTTATAAATTATTAAGGGCTCATGAGGGAGGGAGGAGCGGGGAGTGAGGGGGAAAATGAGGCCCTAATGCCGGGGGCTTAAGTGGAGAGGAAATGTTTTGAGAATGATGAGGGCAATGAATGTACAAATGCACTTTACACAATTGATGTATATATGGATTGTGATAAGAGTTGTATGAGCCCCTAATAAAATGATTAGCAAAAAAAAATTCTTTAAGACAAGGCTTTTCATTTTAACCAAAATGTATCAATATGAATACATAAACATATTTGAAAAAATATATTTATATATCATATAAAATGAAAAAATAGAAAGAAAATATATTTTCACAGAGGAGGATATAATATTCAGTATACATAGATAAGTGAATGGTCTTATTTCTTATTTGTGAATCAACACTGGGAATGAATTAAACTGTAATGGGACATAGCGTCCTCCCAAATGTTCTTACCTGTGCCTCTCCGAGATCATTATTCACCACAGTAAAGTTCAGCCCAAGTTCCTCCACATCACCTTCATAGCTTTTGAGAAAGAGCAAATTCTTATATACTTCAGGATCTAATGAAGCTAGATGATGAATGTCTACATCTGCACTAGTTCCAAGCAACTTTGAGAGGAAGAATCCGGCAAAGGGCAGCTCCACCAACATATTTTCATAGAGAGCCTTCAACGGAGAACAATGAACAATGATTAGCATTTGACATCAGCGCTCTTCTGCAAAACAGCACATTCATGTTGAAGTTTTAACAGGATGCCAGGGATCCCGTGGGGGCGGATATTCTTTGCATGATGGCAAGGAGGGCCGCGGTAGCTAAGATTTGGTGAGCACAGCCCTTGCAGCAGGTCATACATAGTACTAAGTATTCAGGGACTGAACTCAGTATGCGGACAATTCTCCAGTAGCTTACCATTAACGATTTTAGAGCTGAAATCCTAGAATGTTAGTGCCAAAAGAAAAGTGTCAGAGACTAAAATCTCATGTAATAATAAGTTGACTAACTTTTTTCTGGAAAGAATCAGATGGTCAATATTTAAGGCTTTGTAGGCCAGACCACTGTCAGAACTGCTCACCTCTGCCTTTGGAGTTCAGACACAGCCAGGGGCACAATAGAATGAGTGTGGCTGTGCCCCCACAAAGCTTTATTTATGAACACAAATTTGGGTTCCCTATAATTTTTCCATGTCAGGAAACTATTCTTCTTTTGATTTTTTCCCCCTCTCACCTACTAAATACACAGATCATTCTTAGTTCAGGCTCGATTTGTCCCAGAGGCTATAGAGTCTGCCCACACCTGTTGTGATGAAAAATAATTAAAAACAAAAAACCCAAGTAACAAAAAAGAGGCAGAAAATTCTGAAGACTTGCCCAGATATTAAAGAGTAGTACATGGCCAAATTGGTAGCAGAAAAACCCAGGCCCCCTGGTTCCCAGTTCAATAATCTTTTTACTATATCTTTTAACCTACCTTTCTTGCTAAGGAATGCAAAGTGAAATTCTTTTTTTATAAAGAATAATTAAGAGGTAGTAAAATACATACAGCTTACATGTATAAAGCTAAAGAGTTTATACATTTAACATACACCCAGTCATGATCACCCACATCAAGGGAAAAATTTCTATTCCCTTCTCACTGAAAGTTCCCAGGTGTCTCTGCATAGTCAATACCTTCTTTCAACCAAGCAATCACTATTTTGACTATCATAATTGGTGAGTTTTGCCAGTTCTAAAACTTCAAAAATGAGGTTATACAGTATGTCCAATTTTTTTTACCTATCTCAACACATATGTAGGTATTGGACGATGGATATCTGACTCTTCCGGTTGGGGCTATTGTTAAATCCATTAAAAATTCCTGTACAAATCTTTGTGTGATTACTGAGTTCTCTTTAGTATATATGAGCCTGCCATATATGGCAAATTTCTACTTTACAAACTACTGTAATAAGCTATGCTTTAAGAGGTATGTTTTGATGTATCAAAATGTTCTGTAAGCTACTGTTTTACAATTAGTGCTATTATATTACTCAAAGAATACCAAAATAAAAACTATCTATTTGGTATAGATGATCGTCTCTCATCCATGAAACTAAACTCAGAAATCACTCTTCCAAACAAGAGGCCGGTCACGTAACCCACATCCAAATAAACCCAAATGCTAAATGTTAAGATTCCTAAAACATACCCAGGTGGGCTAATAGGAACATACACAGACTCTACAGCATTGGAACTACACTTCTGCCATCTTTCCAGGATGTCAATGTTTAGTCTACCTGGTATCATTTGACTCGAGAGTATATTCTTTCCATAGTTACAGTTTCCATCACAGTTTCCGTACTAACTAGACCCACTCAGCATGCTTAGGTTTCAAAGACCAGGCTATTATGGAAAAATGAAGGATAACCTAACCAGATCACAAAATGGAAGATGACTACATCATTAAAATTATCTCTCAACTTTGGCTTTTGCTACTGTCAGGTATAAGTCATTAACATGCAAAAGCGTTAAGATAGTAGATTCTTTACTAATGTCATAAAGGTCATGGAACAGTCGCTAAGTGAGGAGGGTTGTGATGGTTGTTCGGTGCCATCAAGTTGGCCCTGACCCATGGCGTAGTGACCTGCACAACAGAAAGAAGCACTGCCCAACCCCGCACCATCCTCACAATCGATCCCATTGTTACAGGCACAGTGAGGAGTCGGTGGACTATATTCTCTCTCTATGTGGTAGCCTATAAGATAAATGATTCTTAAACACATGCACACAGTCAATGAGTTAATTTACACTTAATTACCTCTCCCTTTTCCTTCGAAACTACCAATTAGGAAGAATGAGCAGAATACCCTGGAATCTAACATTTAAAGACTTATCCGTTAATACAATGGAAAGAAACTAGAAAATGGCTATGAAAACCCTTCTAACAGTAATAACCTGTTTTCCCCCAAAGAACATAGCTACATAAAAAATGTGCCCAACACATACAACAAGATGATGAAATTAAGACTTCTGGCACAGCATCTACCTCACATGTCCACGGCCACTTCCCTTCCAGAAGTGAGCTTCAGCTTCATATACTATTCACCTTAATTCTGGTCATTTCCTGCAATCTCCTATCAATATAAACATCATCCAAAGTGTTCCTTTTGATTACAATTGTATAAAAAAGGAGAAGGCATAGTTAAGAAGTCAGATAGCCAACGGAAATGGTGGATTTGTTTGTATTAAGTTGATATTATAGTTCATTAGCTCAACAGATGAATGAATGTGAAAACCTTATCAGGTCATCTTAAATGAAACCATTGGGTTACTTCTGGCCTGCTTAATTATGTCTTCTTAGTGTCACTGTCTTTGATGCATGACCATAAATCACCCCCATCACATGTTTGGGAGCACAGCACTATCAAAGGAACCTTGCTTCTTGTATATCTCACATTTGTAATCAGAAATAGAAATTGAAGTGATCAACATGGGGGGAAAACCAAACTGGCAGACAATGCTTATGAAAAAGTGTGTGGGGTGGTGGCGACGGCACAGTTGTTAAAAAAAAGTACGTTTGCGCATATCAGATACACAAAGATATCTGGAGTACCACTGGTTTTACAAGGTCAAGATAGCCTTTCTCAGAGTGCGGTTTCCACGGCTTTTTCATAATTATGTGTTGATTAGAAACAGTAAAATCCCTATCTTTTCTACAAGGTAAAAATTTTAAAAACTGAAACAAGGAAAGGAAAGAAGTATGTAATACTAGCACACCAGCCATATGCTTTTTAATTAGGTTTTGAATATACAAAATATTATAATTTAACAATTTTGTAAATGTACACCATGCTGACATGCATATTTATGAAACATGGTATCTGACAAACAAGTAAAATAAATTTCCAGAAAAGTACTGAGAGATATTTTAAATAGCACCCCTTACCTTGGGCCTCAGGGTTAATCTATCTAAGGCACTTGGGTTCACCATCTGTTAACCAAACACAACAAAACATTTCCCCTTCACCTATGATTACAGATGTTCTTTGCCAGGTAAATGGAAGGGTTATGTCCTCGTGTTTTTATTTCTGATTTGAAGACTAATGATTACCCAATTAATTTTGAAAGATAGCAAAAAAGAACTTCCTAATGAGAAAACGAGTGGTAAAGTGATGACTAGCATTTAGTCATTTGCTGATAATCTAAAGAAAGAGTTATTTTTTTAAAAGCCCCAATTTGCTTAAAGTTAAGAACGGCTAATACTATTAACCTGGAGCATTTCTAAGTACCATTACTTCTACATGAATAATGAGCTCAAAGTCAAGGGGAACATTCTGCATAAAACTACATGATTGATTCAAGGTGTTGAAGAAAAGCCCTCATTTGTACAGTGGACTTTTAAAAGTAAACTGGAAGTGTAAATCATTTAATGTTCAATATATAAGGTCATTGTTTGCCATTTCTGCATTACTAACAATAAACCATTAAAATTTGTTAAATACATCAGAGCTACCTGAATTTTAAACAGAAATCCCATTGTGACTCATAAAATGCAAATGCATAGGTATAATTTTTTACGTAAGGCAAGTTTAAACCTTTAGAGCATTTAATATACAAGCACTAATAAATGATAGCACTAAAAACTATGATTGCATCAGCTAAATGGATTATAAATTAAATTTCCATAATGTATGCATTTGAGATACAAATGTAAGCATAAATCAAGGTATTTTCTAAACACAGGTTAATTATACAACTTCAAAAACTGTCTATTTTTTATGCAAAATAATTCACTTAGCATTTTTCATATTGGTCTTAATTCTCAGCCAGTTGCACCATCCTCATTCCTAGGAGCCTATCAATAATGACTTGTCAGGAAAAAATGGCAATAGGTATATTGAAAAAAACCTGTAACGTATTTTTCAACTGTCTGTCTTTTATGAGTGTTTATAGCTAGAAATTGTGCCAAAATGATTTGAAATAAAAAGGATTAATTATAGTAGAAAGCTTTTAATATAAGTGAGTGCAGTTGCAATGCAATTAATGCAAATTGTGGCATTATCAGGAGAATAAATGTGAGCCACATCACAGGCCATTTTTGTTGGCTGCCAAATAACTTCAGTAATTTACTACATTAAGAATCAATAAAAAAATAATGCTTTTCAAATGCATCTCTATCAATCTTCAGGTAGTTCCAAAACGAACAGTTATAACTTAATCTAAAAACTATATAAGAGATGATACCATGTTTTAAAGCCACTGTAGTTGCGGAAGATAATAATTTTCATTATTTCAGACCATGCACGTGAGCTTTAATAGAGAAATGCAAAACTGAGGAGGATGTATACGAATAAGTCATACATTACTTGATATGTTGTTTCCCAAAGTGGTAGAAACTAAAAACCAACCAACCCATGGTCTCCCACTTAATCATTTGGTGGGAGTTAGAGACTTGGGAGAAGAGCTAAATTAAGAAACCCCCTTCCACTAATGTGACATGGCAGATACTAAGCTGCATGGTTTCAATTCAAATTTAAAATACTAACCATAAATTAGCCCTTAGGGCTAGCTCTCAACCCCATTATATTTCCCTAGGCCAGTAATTTTCATATATTAACACGCAACAAAATCTCTTGAAAAGCTTCTTAAAACATCTATTCCAGAATGTAGCTGCGCCTAAAGATTTACAT